TCTGGAACTGATAGAGGAACTCAAGTTCCAGAACGGGAATATAGCTCATATCCTCACCCTCCCCCCCCCCCCCCCCCTCGCCCAGTCTATAATTCCGGGACATTCCAAGAACTTTTTCTTCGTCTCGTTCCTTAATCCAATTGAATTCCAGATTTTGTGTTTTTCTCCCATTCCAGATCCTCTTCTTCATCCAGAAGCGTTCCAGGTTTGTTCTGATTCCGTAAAATGCAATTAAATTACTTTTTCCCTCAATTCGACTCTGATTCCGCTTAAATCCTGAAATATTCCAGGATTTTATCTTTTTCCTTCTTCCATAATTATGTTTTTTTTTCGTTCATTCAATTGTGTTCCGGGATTTTTTTCTTGGAGTATAATGACATTATGATGACTGTAAATTACACATACAAAGCTGGCTTAGTTATATATATTATTAATGCAAGTAAATATGAAAAATACACACATGCACATGCGTACGCGCGTGATCACACACACACACACACACACACACACACACACACACACACACACACACACACACACACACACACGTACATATATATATGGTAACTAACGCCATATCAGAAGAGAAACTGCATTGAATCAGGAAGTGAAGGAAGATTCCATACACGAACTCATATATTTATTTATCAAATCACGGTAAAAATCTACATATACCTCTGCGATCCCTCAAGCTGGGAATTTCTCGAGTGTCAACAAGGCTTGTGAACCATTTCCAAAGGAGATCCCGCAGGAGAAAGAGACGCTGATGCGAGCACCTCTACTCCTGCCTGTAGCCACACTGCCCTGCATCTTCAGCCATGTATCTCCACACTGAGAGTCTCAGCATCCACCCGTCTCTTGGAGAGGGAGGGAGGGATGGCCCCTAAGTGAGAGATAGGAGCGTACTTAAGCTGGATAATCTCTTAACTGAATCTTAGAGACTGGTTCATATCGTAAATGGCTCGAACAGTCGGATTTGTTTATAAAAATAATCTGGATCAACAGAGATCAGAGGCAGGAGGTATTCTGCCTCTCATCTGTGTGGAGGCGCTTCATCTCGGTAATGTCCAGCTTCCCAACCCCACGGCATCCTGGGGTGTACCTGGCTCCTCGCTATCTCTACCTCACCTGGCTCCTCGCTATCTCTACCTGACCTGTCTCCTCGCTATCTCTACCTCACCTGGCTCCTGACTCCTCGCTATCTCTACCTCACCTGGCTCCTCGCTATCGCTACCTGACCTGTCTCCTCGCTATCGCTACCTCACCTGGCTCTCTGCTACCTCTACCTCACCTGGCTGTTCGCTATCTCTACCTCACCTGGCTGCTCGCTATCTCTGCCTCACCTGGCTGCTTGCTATCTCTTCCTCACCAGGCGCCTTGCTATCTCTACCTCATCTGGATCCTCGCTATATATATATATATATATATATATATATATATATATATATATATATATATATATATATATATATATATATATATATATAATATATATATTCCTCCTCCTCTCAAAATGTAGCTTTCAGTTCTCACACTGCGGTAATTAAAAGCGCCCAAACTGTAACATTATCTTCATTACAGAGGCGCAAAAAATTTACAGTTTTGCTGCAAACTACATATATTGTGGCCGGCGCCTGGCGCTTATCAGCGATAGGTGTGCCAATTGTCATGCAGTGCACGAGGTGTAGGCTAGTCTGTCTGTGCTTGCTGGGTGTAGCTTTAGCTCTTAGACGGAGCTCTTTAGCTGTAAAGAGTTAGAGCTCTAAAGCTTAAAGACCCAAAGAGCTCTTTGGTCCCGCCTCTCAACCGTCAATCAACTGGTGTACAGATTCCTGAGCCTACTGGGCTCTATCATATCTATATTTGAAACTGTGTATGGAGTCAGCCTCCACCACATCTCTGTCTAATGCATACCATTTACTAACTACTCTGACACTGAAAAAGTTATTTCTCATGTCTATGTGGCTCATTTGGGTACTCAGCTTCCACTCGTGTCCCCTTGTGCGTGTACCACCCGTGTTAAGTAATCCATCCTTGTCTACCCCTGTCAATTTCCCCTGAGAATTTTGTATATGGTGATCATGTCTTCCCAAGCTCTTCTGTCTTCCAGCGACGTGAGGTGCAGTAGTTTACATGCTGTGTGTGTGTGTGTGTGTGTGTGTGTGTGTGTGTGTGTGTGTGTGTGTGTGTGTGTGTATTCACCTAGTTGTGCTTGCGGGGGTTGAGCTCTGTCTGCTCTTTCGGCTCTCTGCTCTCAACTGTCAATCAACTTTTTTTTTCCCCACATACACAATCACATCCAGGAAGCAGCCCGTAACAGCAATCTAACTCCCATGTACCTATTTACTGCTAGGTAACAGGGGCATCAGGGTGAATGAAACTCTTCCCATTTGTTTCTGCCATCATGATGGCAAAGGCAGAACACAGGTGTTCTCACACTAACACCTGTCTCCGGTACAGTGGGTCTGAAACCCCACGTGTTGCTTCAGTCTCGCCCCACTGTTCAGACTCCCCTTGACTGCTACGGTACGTGGACATACAAGTTCCTTTGGAGCTGGGCAGATAAATTCGCTAGGAAGCACCAGAAGCTCGAGATCAACCGGTTTCCTGTTTCAACGCTAGAAGCTCGAGATCAACCGGTTTCCTGTTTCAACGCTAGAAGCTCAAGATCAACCGGTTTCCTGTTTCAACGCCAGAAGCTCGAGATCAACCGGTTTCCTGTTTCAACGTTAGGGAAAACAAAAACAAAAAAACAGAGCAACGGGTTTCCTGTTGCAAGGTAAAGGGGAGATGCTCGCTGCATCCCGGACCCGCAGCTGAAGAACTGGGAGAAAGTCAGGAAAAATTTTGTTGACCAGACCACACACTAGAAGGTGAAGGGACGACGATGTTTCGGTCCGTCCTGGACCATTCTCAATCGACTTGAGAATGGTCCAGGACGGACCGAAACGTCGTCGTCCCTTAACCTTCTAGTGTGTGGTCTGGTCAACATTCTTCAGTCACGTTATTGTGACTCATTTCCTCAGGAAATTATATGAATGCATGTTAGTGTTTTCTGTAAATTAATTCAACCTTCCCAGATCTTTATTTATATACAAAAAACAGTTTCGAAACTCTCATTCTTGCTTTGGTGAAAACATGCAGTATTTTCATATCAATAAATGTATACTTACAAATTAATTTATATGTACGTAAGTGATAAAAGGATTTTTTTGAAACTCTACGGTATACTAAACCTATTAAATGAATGAATAACGGAAAAACAAAGAGAGGGGGGTTGGTAGAATGCCATGTGTTTTTTCTCCGAGGCTTTGAGTCGTCATAATATTATCGGAGGTCGTTCTCATATAGTGTTGAGCCTGTGGCTTGTGTGTGGAGCAGCGGTTTAGTTCTGGTGGCAATGCTGTTTGGTCCACACGTGTCGGGGATTGGCCAGAAACGTCAAACATTACATCGAGGGTCAGAAACTACCGGTACTTGAAATTAGTAAAATATTGGAATGGATGAAAGCCAGGTTAAAAAAAAACACAGAGTGTTATTCTGATTGGAAAACAATTCAACTAGACAAACAATTCCGAGGGAAATACCTCAAGATTACCGTTTACCGACAGTATATTTTGTAATAGATATGCCGACACGAACCACATAATAGCTAACGAGACAAAGTTAACGAAGAGCAGGAGACGGTAATGATATTGAGGCTTCGCGACATGATCTATACGAACCTCTCATATGGCCAGGCCGGCAAGTGCGGTTTAATATTAATCACTGCAAGACCTTGCTTGTTGTGCATAATTTGGCACTCCACAACTACCACATCAACACCACGACCCTGCAGCAGATAGATACACAAAAACGGACCTCAGAATGACAGTCTCCCAGTCACTGACAGGAAAACATAGATGACATAACTGACCTGGAAAAGGTTCGTCAGGCTCTACAAAGAGAAACCAAATTTTTCCCACACTTTCCCACAAATTAAGTAACTCATACCAGGAAAGGCTGAAGGCCTCAGGACTACCAATACAAACTAGACAGTGCAGGAGTAGCCACTAGTACAAAAGATTGTAAATACCATGCTATGTATCCTCACAAACCCAATGTACCTTTTTATATATAAACAAATAAATAAAGTTGTCTCCTCTAGAACATCAAGTGCCCTAGAGAGTAGAAGACAAAACATTGTTGTAACAGGTACAGCATCAGTCTCGCAGTGATAACGTCCTTAACGCGATAACACACAACGCAAGGTAGACAGCATGAGATGCTTTTTCACCCATTGGCTGACGTTAGATAACCTGCGGAACAGCTTACCCGGCAAAGCCTTCATTACATAGACAATATTCTTGTTCACAGTACAACCGGGAAAGTCCTCAATAATAATGGGGGTAAGTTTTTTAGAGAGAGATAGAGAGACAGACAGACAGACAGACAGAGAGTGTCATCCCAGAAAAACTATGCCTGAAGACAAGAGCCGGGATACACACATTAAGATGCTGCTTAACTTGATGAAGTGAGTTTATCCCCTGCGGCTCTTAGAGAGTGGGGGCTCTTGGGCAGCCTGGCTCTCTCCCTCTCTCTCTCTCTCTCTCTCTCTCTCTCTCTCTCTCTCTCTCTCTCTCTCTCTCTCTCTCTCTCTCTCTCTCTCTCTCTCTCTCTCTCTCTCTCTGTATAATAATAATAATAATAATAATAATAATAATAATAAGGTAATAATGTTTATTCAGGTAAAAGAACATACATAGAAAATTAGTTACAAACAGACTGATGGATCTCTAGACAGAGCGTGTATATACTGTCCCTAAAGCTAATTATAGTATAGCATGGCCCCCCTATAAAGGTTCTCTCCTTTTCCCATCCCGTTATCTTACCCTTCCATTCCGTTATCCTCCCCTCCCATCCCGCTATCCTCCCCTCCTGATGATATACTCCCAAGATAACACGCCGGCTTAAGAATAGTATTCATAATAACGCAGAATAACTGGAACTTTATGGACCTTTTAAAGTTTCCCAGATGATACATCTTCATGGAAACTGGCCAAGGCTTTTTGTCTTTCTTGAAAAGTTCCTTTCTCGTCGTTTCCTGCAACGAGGTGATATGGATCTGGAATTATGGCCTTTTTATTAAGTCCCTTTGCCTTCTTTTTCTGCAATTGCATGGACTCGTTGTGATTGTGGAGGACTCGTTGTGATTGTGGAGGACTCGTTGTGATTGTGGAGGACTCGTTGTGATTGTGGAGGATCCGTTGTGATTGTGGAGGACTCGTTGTGATTGTGGAGGATCCGTTGTGATTGTGGAGGACTCGTTGTGATTGTGGAGGACCCGTTGTGATTGTGGAGGACCCGTCGTGATTGTGGAGGACCCGTTGTGATTGTGGAGGACCCGTTATGATTGTGGAGGACTCGTTGTGATTGTGGAGGACTCGTTGTGATTGTGGAGGATCTATCGTGATTGTGGAGGACCCGTTGTGATTGTGGAGGACTCGTTGTGATTGTGGAGGACTCGTTGTGATTGTGGAGGATCTATCGTGATTGTGGAGGACCCGTTGTGATTGTGGAGGACCCGTTATGATTGTGGAGGACTCGTTGTGATTGTGGAGGACTCGTTGTGATTGTGGAGGATCTATCGTGATTGTGGAGGACCTGTTGTGATTATGGAGGACCCGTTGTGATTGTGGAGGACCCGTTGTGATTGTGGAGGACCCGTTGTGCTTGTGGATGACCCGTTGTGATTGTGGAGGACCCGTTGTGATTGTGGAGGACCCGTTGTGATTGGGAACGACCCTCGGTGGACGCTAACCACCCACAAGGTCGTGAAAGACCTGATAAAAACGGCTAAATATGCGACATTCGTCGACATATCCGGCCGAGCCGACACGATCGCGCCTCTGCAGCAACGAATGAGAGAGACAGACAGGATTAAATTATGATTAACTGAATCCGCAAAGGAACTGAACCCATTTAGATAATTTGAGCCGGGTTGATCGCCCTAATTAATACAAATTCGGTCCCATCTGCGCGTGCAATTAGCCTCGTTCTGCGCATTTCAGCGGCCCGTCGTCGTTAAGCGTCGTCACTCAACTAGGGCAACAGAGAGGCGGGTATTGGTTTAAATTTTGCTATACTGTCTCGAGTGAAAAAAAGAAATGACTGGTGCCACTTTTTTCAAAATGATTGTGACAATATTTCCCCCCAGAAATGTGGTCAATATCCGCTGATTAAACTGGTTAATAGTCACAATATAACCCTGGGGGAACTGGTCACCAGTCACTATATAACCCTAGAAAACTGGTCACCAGTCACTATATAACCCTAGAAAACTGGTCACCAGTCACTATATAACCCTGGGGGAACTGGTCACCAGTCACTATATAACCCTGGGGAACTGGTCACCAGTCACTATATAACCCTAGAAAACTGGTCACCAGTCACTATATAACCCTGGGGAACTGGTCACCAGTCACTATATAACCCTGGGGGAACTGCTCACCAGTAACTATATAACCCTGGAGGAACTGGTCACCAGTCACTATATAACCCTGGGGGAACTGGTCACCAGTCACTATATAACCCTGGGGAACTGGTCACCAGTCACTATATAACCCTGGGGGAACTGGTCACCAGTCACTATATAACCCTGGGGAACTGGTCACCAGTCACTATATAACCCTAGAAAACTGGTCACCAGTCACTATATAACCCTGGGGAACTGGTCACCAGTCACTATATAACCCTAGAAAACTGGTCACCAGTCACTATATAACCCTGGGGGAACTGGTCACCAGTCACTATATAACCCTAGAAAACTGGTCACCAGTCACTATATAACCCTGGAGGAACTGGTCACCAGTCACTATATAACCCTGGGGAACTGGTCACCAGTCACTATATAACCCTGGGGGAACTGGTCACCAGTCACTATATAACCCTGGGAAACTGGTCACCAGTCACTATATAACCCTGGGGGAACTGGTCACCAGTCACTATATAACCCTGAAGAGAACTATTCATGGTGAATAGTGCAAGCCAGTATTTAAATACATGCAAGCCAGTATTTAATTCATATGATATTTCATATTTCATTCAGGTAATTCATATTAAATTCATATGATACGTTCTTGGCATCTCCCTGCTGCCATTCGGGGTCACCACAGCTTTTGCACTAGAACAGTCCCCCCAATAAATGTTATTGGAAGGCTGACCTCGTACCGAACATCCAGTTTTCTATATTTGTAATTCCACCCCTGAACGTGACTTCTGTTTTTAGCTGTGTATATAATGTTTATTGTTGTATATATGAAGCTCGTTTTATCCACGAAGAATTTTCTGATTCAAAATATATGCACGAAAGATGCATATACATACATAAAGAGATCACACGAACGTGATTTATCAATGAAAATTTATATTTATCATTCACCATCCTCTGAGCACCCTTCTCAGTATTTAAAGCCTCTTCTCAGCATTTTCTCACGTCTCAGCATCCTCTCAGCGTCTTAGCATCTTCTCAGCGTCCTCTCAGCGTCTTAGCATCTTCTCAGCATCCTCTCAGCGTCTTAGCATCTTCTTAGCATCCTCTCAGCGTCTTAGCATCTTATCAGCATCCTCTCAGCGTCTCAGCATCTTCTCAGCATCCTCTCAGTGTCTTAGCGTCTTCTCAGCATCCTCTCAGCGTCTTAGCGTCTTCTCAGCATCCTCTCAGCGTCTTAGCGTCTTCTCAGCATCCTCTCAGCGTCTTAGCGTCTTCTCAGCATCCTCTCAGCATCCTCTCCGCGTCTTAGCATCTTCTCAGCATCCTCTTACAGCGAGCCAATCTGAGGAGCAACATCTCTTGCAGTTTTTGTTAATATTGGACCTCCTTTTACGAAACATTTTTGGCCAAATATCGTCTGGGTTTTCAAGCCACACATGGGAGGGCCGTTTCCGTTAACGGGAGCATTCATTCCCTTTCTTTCTGTTGATTTAGCTTTTTTTTGTTGCTGAATTGCCGTTTTTTTGCTTTGATTTACTGTTTGGGTTTTATATTGTTGATCTGCCGTTGTCGAATTGGAATTGTTCCCGTTTATTTGCCGTTTTTATGCTGTTGTCTTTCCGTTAACACTGTTGACCTATCGAGGTTTCTGTAAATTTATGATTTGCAGTGTTTACATTTCACTCAGCTATTTCAGAATTAATTAACTATTGTTCCTATTTTTATTTCAGTGCAGTAATTAGTGCCTGATATTTGTGCTTGTTGTCTCTTACGGTCTTTTGCTGTTTTGTCAATTACCTTTTTTGGGGGTTAATTGTTTTAATACTTAATTAATGTTTTGACTAATTACGATTTTGCTGTTTTCTGCTATATTTGTATCTCTCTCTCTCTCTCTCTCTCTCTCTCTCTCTCTCTCTCTCTCTCTCTCTCTCTCTCTCTCTCTCTCTCTCTCTCTTTCTCTTTCTCTCTCTCTCATCTTTTTCCTCTGTCTGTCAGTCTCTCTCTCTCTCTCTCTCTCTCTCTCTCTCTCTCTCTCTCTCTCTCTCTCTCTCTCTCTCTCTCTCTCTCTCTCTCTCTCTCTCTCTCTTTTCTCTCTCTCATCTTTTTCCTCTGTCTGTCTGTTCTCTCTCTCTCTCTCTCTCTCTCTCTCTCTCTCTCTCTCTCTCTCTCTCTCTCTCTCTCTCTCTCTCTCTCTCTCTCTCTCTCTCTCTCTTTCTCTTTCTCTCTCTCTCTCATCTTTTTCCTCTGTCCCACAAACACACGAAGTTTTATACATGACAATTGATCCGAATTTTTCGAAAGGCCGGTCATTGCTGAAAATGGTCGGTTACTGCATCGTTTTCTGGTGTTTCCGGTTCATGTATCGGATACTAACCTACGTGTGCTTGTAAGGCGAACCTTGGTTCCTGGGCCCCGCCTTGCAGTCGCCTATTGCAGTGACCCACTCCCTGTTTATCAGAACTTTTCTCTCTCATACTTTCGCCCATTTCAACTCATTCACGTGTTCATTAATTATTCAGGTGATGTCTGGCATCCCCCATGGCTCCTCTGAGTGGCTAGTTTACACCAATGGGCTCTCGTCTTGCCCCTGTTCATGTTGAACATCTCGATTCTGTCCACTTTGTCGGTGCCTCATTGTCAGTGCATATAAGACTCTTTATATGTCGTAATCATGTCTCATCTTTCCTAGTGCTTTTTCTAGCATTGTGAGATCTAGTTTCCTCAGCTTATCCTCATAGCTCAGTCCTCAGTTCATGAACCTGTGTTGTAGCAAACGTTTGTACTTCCTGTACGTTTTGTTCAAGTAGAGGATTCTTCAGTGGGGGGCAACATAAGAATATAAGAACATAAGAACAAAGGTAACTGCAGAAGGCCTATTGGCTCATACGAGGCAGCTCCTATTTATAAACCACCCAATCCCACTCATATACATGTCCAACCCACGCTTGAAACAATCGAGGGACCCCACCTCCGCCACGTTACGCGGCAATTGGTTCCATAAATCAACAACCCTGTTACTGAACCATATTCATATTCAAATAAACCATAAACATATTCAAGACTTTTCTAATATAGGCAAAATACAGTGGTTTTAAATCTTCCTTTCCAGGTATCTGAAGTTACATGAATGTTCGCCAGCTTTGCATACACAGCTGATGTTATCCTGTTTACATGTGCCTCCGGGGGAAGCCTTGCGGTTAGGTCTACTTCTGGATTTTATTCCTTATCACGTCATCTCATCTTATCAACCTCATCTCGCATTTAGTTGGATTATGTCGAGCATCTCGGATCATCTCTCTTGGTTGTGTGGTTGTCCAGTTCCACATTGATCTTTCTAATATTCTCTTCTGTTTTAACTCGTTTCGTAAATTTTATCCCATCGGCAAATATAATAATAATGGATGCTATTTCGTCAGTTATGTCTATTAACATATATCAGAAACGGAATGGGTCCTTGTACAGATCCCTGTGGTATTCTGTTTGTTATTTCCTTCAGTTCTGATCACTCCGGTCTCACTACTACACTCTGCTTCCTAGTGCATAGTTATTCTATCACCCGGTTCAGCACGTATCAAATGATTCCATCGTGTTTGTCAAGTTTGGGCCGTAGCCTCGTGTGCTGGACAGTGTCGATGGCGTTCTGCTAGTGGAAGAAAATACTCAGCTGATCCTTTGCTTTCCTTTATCGTTTACATCTCTTCGTGGGACTCTATTAGGTTTATCAGACACGACTTTTCATTCCCTTGTGTGAACCCGTGTTTAAGCTTCGTCACAAAGATCGTTCTATGTGTTTCATTGGTCTCCGGTTTAATATTACTAGGACCTTTCATGGCATGCCAATAAAGATATGTAATTTAGAACCTCCTGTCTCTCATTTATATGTAGTTATGACATCGTCAGTCTTCTACGTGTCTGGTAGTTCCCCCACTTTCTAATAAAGCATTTTTAGATTATTGAAAGAGGTTCGGTCAGCACATCAGTTGTATTCTATAGCAGTCATTGGAAGACTTGTGTTGGCTACACGTCTTAGCACATCTGGATCCTTAAGATGTTGCCTTACCTCATTGTTGCGGCCGTCAGGACTCGCAGGCGCTCAAGGATGTCCTCGAGAGCGGCTCAGTTTCTGGACTGATCGCTACCTGGAAGTTCAATCCCCGACCGTCCAAGTGGTTGGGCATCATTCCGTGCCCCTCTTCCCATCCCAAATCCTAATCCTGACCCTTTCCAAGTGCTATATAGTCGTAATAGCTTGGCGCTTTCCCCCTCTGATAATTCCCTCCCTTCCCTCTTCCTTCTCCTTCCTTTTCCTTCCTCCCCCCCTCTTTCCTCCTGGTTTTTTCCTCTCGTTGTGCTATACACTAGTTCCAGCTGCTCTTTTGCCACCTATGCTACATAGTTTTCGCGTTTCGTCTCTGTTTCTGTGGTGCTTGACACATATTCATTCCTCTCTCTGTTGCACTCTTCCTCTGACGTGGTCTCCGTGTATCCTTTCCCAGATCTTAACTATTCTCCATGTTGACGGAGCTGTCGTGGAGAAGAGGAAGATCTGACGGAGCTGTCATTGTTCAGTCAGCGGAGGACACTGCTTACTCCTCACTTTTTATTCGGTGACGCCAAGTGTCTCTTCGTCTCCTGAAAAACATTTGTGGATCACGTAATTCATCTTTTGTCTTTACCCACAAATACACCAAGATTCTGGCCTCAGAGCAGTCATATAATGTGGGTGTAGGATCAGATGGCTTCTGACTCCCCCTTAGCGGCTGAGAGAGGCTTATAGTAAGTCTCACCCACTAGTTTTCCTTGGAATATGACTCCCCCCTTAACCCAATCGGTTAACAACCAGGTACCCAATTATTGCTGGGTGAACAGGGGCGAGCAGGTAAGCATTGGCGTCCAGTCACTCCTCCCTGGCCAGGACTCGAGCCCCAGACCAAATCGCTGGCAAGGCGCGGGTCGAGTGTGTTGCCACAACGCCACCAGGGACTGGGATGTTAGGTCTCCCGTCACTAGATGGCTCTGATGCACAAATTAGGTAATAATACCGAAAGTCTTTTCTTTGGGGTTTACATTTACAGGTAATGGATAAATTGTAAAATATATCAACAAATCTTAAACTTTGTAAATATGTAATCCAGTGTTGTTTTCGTTTCGTAAATCAGCAAAATTGATTGTAAGGTAATATATTAGAGAATATATTTACAGTATATAATGTAAATACGAGTGTTAATTGCCCTAAAAAACGACTTTGTAAACGCGTCAGACCAACATTGCGGCGAGAATATTATTGGTGTACTATTTTACCCATTCCTACCTTATTTCCGCGTATAATTTCCGAAGAAAAAATATATTACATTTTTTGTATGCACCAGGTGATATAATTAATTAATTAAGCAGTAAAAGGGTTAAGATTTCTGGTTATTACGTCGAATGAATTCCCAGTGGAGTTTCCTGGTTGAATGGGTAAGGAAGGAGTTAATAGGTGACGGGGTAATGTGGGGAGGAAAAGAAATGGGGATATAAGAGGCAGGAAAATGGAGTGGGAAGGGAGAGAAGAAGAATGAGGAAGAGGAGGAGAGGTATAACACGAATGACACGTAAAGTTTTGTGAGTTCGTGTCTGGTTCCTATCCCTTCCCAGTAGGGAAAGCTGTTTACCTATTTTTCCCTTTCAAGGTCCTTATCTACTAGTATCTTTATCTATCATGCTTCTTATATACCCCTTAGCTCTTCTGCATTATATCCTCACTGATTATTTGCCGTTCCACAACAGGAAGATCACATCTAAAATCTTACCTGATCCACTGTTTTGATATCATAGTCCATCATAACTGTACTCTTTGAGAGCCAAACTCATCCTCCTATAGCTTGAAGGACTGCCAGGGAATATTGTATGTTAGTATGTACTGTATACATATGTGTAATGTGGCTGCTCTTAGGTGGCATATATGATTTTGTATAATAGTAGAGGGGGTGTTTGTCTGTGTCTGGTCTGTCTTTCTCCCAGACTTTCCCCTCTCCATTCTCTCTCCCACTACCCCTTCTCTTCTATCCCCTCTCTTCCCTTCCCTCTTTCCTTCTCTTTACTCTTTCCTTCTCTTCAATCATCCCACCTCTCCCGCCTTTCTCTCCCCCATCCCCCCCCCCCTCTCTCTCTAAAAATGTAATCTGTATATTACGAAGCACTGAAAAAGTGTTAAATAACTCTTCAGGAAAACCTACTTCACTGGTTTCAGGCTTGATTTCGTGAAAATCGCAGAGGGGTTCGATATTTCTTAAAGTGTGCCACTGGGGCCAACCCCGACTGGCCTATGACATTCCCATATCCCCTATGTGTCATCTTGGGAAGTTGTGTGAGGATAGCCCCAAGCGTCTGGCCTCCTACCTCGGACAGACAAATGAACCAACGAACATTCTCTTTTATATAGAGAGATTTAAGATAAATAAGTCGGCGACTTATTCACTCTGGTAGAAGCACCACCATTTGCACTAATCAATGCATGTTTCGGAAATTGAATCACAACGTTGATTTTCATCTTGACAAGAGGAACCAGACACAGAACTGTGAGTACAGAAACAAAGTGTTCCGCGTATGGGGAGAATCCTACCGTTTATGCTAATGAACGTTCGCTGCCTCGGCTGAACGGCCACGGTGGTGTTCGTCTCGGCTAAGGGAGACAGGCGCAGCGAAACCAGACGTTCTCTACTCACAGAGGAGGAAAAACTGCGTTACAAGTTAGCAACATACTGAGGAACTATCCTTGAAATTACACATTTAACTCGGGCCTTTCACTGGGATGTCGCTCATGGTCTCTTCCCTCGCCATACACTTGACTGCACCCGCCGGCAGTGTTCTCGTGGAATATACTGGCCTCGATATTTTCTTGCTGGTCAGGGGTTCCCCCCTCCCACTGGTCAGTGGGTCCCCAGACCCCAGGTCTCCTCCACTTACCATGCCACTTCTCGCACCACGGGACCTATTTACTTAAATTTTACACACCATTGCATAGGATCCAGTAGTGCTTACTTGGCTTATCCAGCTCGTTAAGGTTTCCTGCTTGCTGGTGTTGCTGCCTCTATTGCCGTCTCTTCCACCGTTTTCTTGAGTTTCCCCTTCTTCCTCACTCACTTTCCTCTTCTTACATTTTCTTTAATATTAAATATTTAGAATTAAATATTTTTATTTGAAATATTTATATTTTCTTATATTACAAATTTTAGTATTTTAAAATATTAGTAAAGAAAATCCCTGTTTTCTTTACTAATATTTTTCTTCGTCCCTTTCACACTCCTTAATTAACGTTGATGTTTTTTATTTAAAAAATTGTCACTTTTGCTATTATAGTGAAAATTGTTATAATTATTCGGGCTATCATTCAACGGGAGCCGGTCGGCCGAGCGGACAGCACGCTGGACTTGTGATCCAGGTCCTGGGTTCGATCCCAGGCGCCAGCGAGAAACATTGGGCAGAGTTTCTTTCACCCTATGTCCCCTGTTACCTAGCAGTAAAATAGGTACCTGGGTGTTAGTCAGCTGTCACGGGCTGCTTCCTGGGGGTGGAGGCCTGGTCGAGGACCGGGCCGCAGGGACACTAAAAAGCCCCGAAATCATCTCAAGATAACCTCAAGATATATCATCCTGTTTAGGTAACAATTACATTAACGGCGTGACCCATCGTACGTATATTGATGTAATAGACAATTACATAATAGAATTTGGTGCTACTGAATATAGACAAACCGGAAAAGGTTTTGTATTTATATTGGTAATAAAACTTAACCTAATCATCCTAGGCCGAATACACACTATCTGAGGCCTCAGACAATAGACGTTATAGTTCATATATGTACTATACTAGGCCTAAGAATGATCAAGTATGGGGGGTTTCAGTTTAATTTTTTCGGACTCTATAAAAGTGAATAGTACCACATTCTACTATCTAATTGCCCATTACGTCAATATGAGTACGATGGTGTACATAGTTACAATAAGTACTATCTTCACAGGAGGATTGGTTGGATTATTAGTATTTGGTGTAAGAGAGGGAAGGATGGGGCGGGGGGGGGGGGAGAGTAGGGGTTACCTTGGAGTTGTTCCGGGGCTTTGCGTCCCCGCGGCCCGGTCATCGACCAGGCCTCCTCGTTGCTGGACTGGTCAACCAGGCTGTTGGACGCGGCTGCTCGCAGCCTGACGTATGAATCACAGCCTGGTTGATCACGTGTATATAACTCTCACCTCGTCACCCCTCGACTGGTAGTTACCCCCTTTGGAAAGGGGAGGAAGGTACCTCCCCCCCTCTTCCCATCCTTTCCAGTCGAGGATGAATCAGACATCTATTTCGAAACACACTCAAACTCTCTTACTCATTTCCCAGTTAGTTGTCGTAGACTGTGTTTAACTGACTGACTGACTCAGAGTGTCGCTGACTAGACTACGATAAAGAACTGTTAAATAAAATTTTGGAATTTGACAGGGATTTAATCTGCCCCCATGTCATTAACCCGTTGCTGGCCATCATCGAAGATGGCCGAATAATAACCTCATATGAACGTATTATTCTCGTCGTGTGAAAGAAATCCAACACGCAGCCAACAATTGGCTGTGTTAGGTCTCAAGAAAGAACCAGTTTATGGTGGTCGGGCCCAGGACGTGCGGCTGAGGTCCTAATCTTCCTTCACGGGCCGCCCTACTCGGGTCCCACCCTTCATGGAGGCTCCTCCTCGCGTCAAAGTTAATTAAAAATTCTTCATATTGACCTCTCTCGTTCTTCATTGATAGTAGACGACCTCTGGGTCCTGTAATCAGGCTTAGAGCTTTCCCCTTCTCTCTCTCTCTCTCTCTCTCTCTCTCTCTCTCTCTCTCTCTCTCTCTCTCTCTCTCTCTCTCTCTCTCTCTCTCTCTCTCTCTCTCTCTCAACAGGGCTTCCAGGATCTCCTGGTAATGACCCCCGAGGGTGGGTGCTAAAGTGAACCTGGAGGAGGCAAGAGCTGCTCATATTGGTGCTGACAGTCCTGACACGGCCTCCAGTGTCCTCCATATTCACCGTCAGTGTACATCAACAAAATATTAAGTCACCTTTCTACCATTCAAAATACCAGTGAGAATCATAGGTATTGAGTGTAATGATAGTAGTTGGGTTAGGTATTGTTATTGATATATATATATATATATATATATATATATATATATATATATATATATATATATATATATATATAACTGAAAACTCCACCCCCAGAAGGATTCGAACCCAGACAGTCAGGAGCACTATGCACATGGCGTACCCGGTTCCTTAACCACTCGACCAACCGTGACTGTACAAAAGACATTGGTAGCCGAGTTTATATCCCCAACGTCCCGACAGAACGTCCCGAGAGCTCGATGAATTATCAATGTCCATGCTTACCACCAAGTGCTGTCGAGACGTTGGGGGATATAGCCTCGGCTACCAATGTCTTTTGTACAGTCACGGTTGGTCGAGTGGTTCAGGAACCGGGTGCGCCACGTGCGTAGTGCTCCTGGCTGTCTGGGTTCGAATCCTAAGCTCCAGCATGTGGCCACAGCCCTGCACGCTTGTGTCGTGGGTCCCAGGGAAGGTCCCGTGTAACGCACGTCGTAAGAATGAACAAACGAAAAACGTTTAATCACTTCAACGCTTCAAACGTTCCATCAATGAATTGCAGAAATAAAATTACAGAATCACAGGATTAAATTAAAATATCACAGGACTAAAAAAAATCCTGTGAGCGCCAGGGATAATTACGAGACTATCTAGTAATTAGGGCGACTAATTCGTCTAGTGAGGAGGCCGTCGGGCGCCCGTGGTTGGCTTTGACGGCTTCATTAAACAGCTCAGTTAGTTTGGAAGCTTGAAGTTCGTCTTGTGTGTGTGTGTGTGTGTGTGTGTGTGTGTGTGTGTGTGTGTGTGTGTGTGTGTGTGTGTGTGTGTGTGTGTGTGTGTGAGTGTGTTCCCTTCCTCTTCCCCCTCTCCTTGCACATGGTTAGATATATGTAGTTTAGCCCTACATATATGTAACACCTGGTTAGACATATGTAGGGCTACATAGTGTGTATAAGACCATGGGGTACTCGACCACTGGTAATTTATCTATCTTGCAGGACACGATGATAAATTACAGTGCTAAGTAACGTGTGTGTACTCACCTAGTTGTACTCACCTAGTTGTGTTTGCGGGGGTTGAGCTCTGGCTCTTTGGTCCCGCCTCTCAACCGTCAATCAACAGGTGTACAGATTCCTGAGTGTGTGTGTGTGTGTGTGTGTGTGTGTGTGTGTGTGTGTGTGTGTGTGGTGTGTGTGTGTGTGGTGTGTGTGTGTGTGCGTGACGCTTGAACGACAGTCAGCGTGATTGGTTGGGGTGGGGGGGGGGTAGGGGGGATAATTGTGTTGTAAGCAAATGAGGAAAAGTTGGGGGGGGGGTGGGGGGGGGGAGGGGGTTGGCCTCGGACGATCTGACTATTGTACACATTCTGGGTATTGCAAGGTCTTGTGTTGCAGTCGGTAATCAGTCATCGTGAGGCGTTATGCACGTGTTGGGAACAACCATTGGTAGTGGCGTAGTTATCAGGTCTAACTACTGATAAAGAACTGAAGGAATAGAGCCCTACTAAGGTATATATATATATATATATATATATATATATATATATATATATATATATATATATATATATATATATATATATATATATATATATATGTTTATTTTTATTTACTGATAATAGAGATTAGTCACATAAGATATCAGTTCCCCCATTTGCTGATATCCTGGCAAAATATGTTATATCTCAGTGACTTAACTTTCTACCTCTCTTTCTGCCTTCCTTTAATGTCTTTTTCAGTGATAAATTTTAATCCCAAAAAGTGAATAATTAAAACTTTGTTCAGAATTAATATGTTCACAATGCAACTTTTTTTTTTTCTGCGTATAATTAATAAAATTTAGTCGTTTTTATTTTGATATTTTGTGAGGCCATGTTGTCAGAGGTAGGAAAAAAAATCCTATTAACATATTTTTTGGCGGAAAATTATAGAGAAGAGTTGGTACGTAACATAGCGCGCGCCGGCGCGTGCGTGTCCGCGATGGCACGCATGAATTATCTCGTGACACGTACAGACGAGACGACCGTGCCGTGAGCCCAGTTGCACGACCGTGCCGTGAGCCCAGTTGCACGGCACTGGGTCTCTATTAATTCGCCGCCTCCACGTAGATGATATCTACCAATTCGCCGCCTCCACGTAGATGATATCTACCAATTCACCCCTCCACGTAGATGATATCTACCAATTCGCCGCCTCCACGTAGATGATATCTACCAATTCACCCCCTCCACGTAGATGATATCTACCAATTCACCCCTCCACGTAGATGATATCTACCAATTCGCCGCCTCCACGTAGATGATATCTACCAATTCACCCCTCCACGTAGATGATATCTACCATTCACCCCCTCCACGTAGATGAA